CGACTACCTTTCTATAAGTAAGTTAGGGTTTAGATGTTCCCCAGTTAGACGTGTTTAAAGTTATTTTAAATAAGATATTTACACGCTCAATGGTTTCATGTAATAACTTGATTGTAATATAATATTGTTCACGGCGTTATACAGTGTAACCCAGTTTACTTCCTGCTTGTCAAGAAATTGGGTATTTTATTTCATTACTTAATTGTTTTTCAAGGAAAACGAAATATGAGAGAGAGAGAGAGAAATGGGGTTTAACGTCCACTCGACACACATTAGGTCATTTCGGGTCTAACATATGTTTTTTAATTTTATTTCAATAATTCGCTTGCGCATAGGGGTCTTTAGCAGTGGTAGGAAACCGGAGGACCCGGAGAAAACCCACGATTCGAAACCACGCCAGTCGACTCAATGACAGACTTTATGATACAGCGCGCGCATTCGACACAAACTAGGTCATTTCTGGACCATCATATGGTTCAATTTTATTTCAATAATTCGCTTGCTTGCGCGTAGGGGCTTTAGCAGTGGGAGGAAATGGGGTTTAACGTCCATTCGACACAAACTAGGTCATTTCTGGACCATCATATGGTTCAATTTTATTTCAATAATTCGCTTGCTTGCGCGTAGGGGCTTTAGCAGCGGGAGGAAACCGGAGGACCCGGAGAAAACCCACATTTATGAAATAAATGGGGTTTAATGTCCTACTTTTCTGCCCCGACTGGGCTAATGAACACGGGCATACGCCATACAATGTAATGAGACGGAAATATTTTCAGGACAAGGGCTACCCACTTTTATATCGAATTACAACTGTCATGGGTTCTTTTACGTGCACGCCAATGTACATATACATGTGACCCCGGTTTTCATTCCATCCGAACGACTATACCTGTCCCTTGCCAGATCCCCTGTCTTACTTCACAGACAAGGGCGAACCAAGCAGGAAAGTCCCGATCTTATCGAGACAACGTCCTACTCACTTATCCTCCGTGTAACCCATATGTTTCATATTACTTGTAGATGTATATCTTGTCTATTTATTTTATAAAATATGTGGACCTGCGGTGGATCCGTGAGTATGACACTGGCGTTACCAGAGAAAGATTCTCAGGATTTCAGAGGCTGGTTTGCCATTGTTACTGGTGCTGGAACTGAGAAGTTGTTGGCGTGCACTTAAAGAACCGTGGACAGTTGGGGTTCTGACGGACGGTTTAGGACAAATGAATGCAGTTGACTTGGAGAAGGAGAAATGTGGTTTAACCTCCACTCAACACGAACTGTGTCATTTCGCGACTAACACATGGTTCAATTTTATTTCAATAATTCGCTTGCGCTTAGGGGTCTTTAGCAGTAGGAGGAAACCAGGTGACCCAGAGAAATCCATTAAGGTTGAACAGGGGACACTAATCGTTGCCACGTACAAACGGAGAACCGAAACCACGCCAGCTGACTCAAAGACAGACCTCACGATACAACGCGCACACCAATCGGCGATCCAACTCCCATCAATTGACTCGGAGTAACCTCTGTACACGCGAAACGTATATTTTGTTGTGAGAAACGAGTTCGAGTCGAGCAGGCGAAACCCTTCTTGTCATGTACAGACCTGGTATCGAAAATTATAAAAAAAACTTGATGAAAAAAACTTGACTTTGTCTTTAACAGTAACACCCAAAAGGTTCAAACACGAAATAAAATACATATAGACTGACATTTATTTGTGACTGTCGTTTGTCTGTCTGTCTGTCTGTCTGTTCGGGGTTGGCGGCTACACTAGGTCTGCCCCGAGTCTGAAATTTGGGGTATAGGGGTAGCTCGGACCGGGGAGTAACATAGGCCAGGTGGCGTTAGTCTACCACTTCCGGTTTCGGAGTTATGACCCCCGAGCGAAGCCGGGTATCCTGCTAGTATATACTATAAATAAGTACGATCAATCCGATTAAAATACAGATGTGACGTCATCCTTTGATATTGGCGTACCATTATTTCAAATAATCGTACGGGCAACTTGCCAATCGTACATTATTTATACTAGTAAAAGCACGTGCGGAGTGTCTGTATTTTAAATCGTTTAATGGTCTCGCGCTTAAGACATTGCGTAATATATTGTAAAAACATTATTACTTAATATTATTACTTAATGACTCGCTCTCGATCATTAAACAATACTTAAAACACAGATCCTATTTCGTTTCGTTTTTTTTATAGTTCAAAATTTCTGGAAGAGTTGTTATATAACTCGCGTTCTGATTGATGCTAGGGATTAGCCAATAAAAAATAAGACAACTTATCTGCGATATCACCTTTGGTGGGAGCGGCCGTTAGGCACTAAGAACAACAACAAACAGTAAGCATACGTCGTCGGCTACTTATAGTGACCATACTAATTATCAAAAAATAAAGTTTAAAAACATAAATTTGAACTTAACAGTTAACGAGGCAATTATATTTGTGTATTTATAGGGATAGGGACAATGATTTAACGCCTGTGCGTTACATCAGAAGGTCTGCCATTGAGTCAAGTGGCCTGGTTTTGATTCCCCGCTTGTATGTGACAAGTAGTTGGGTCACCTGTCAAATATAATGGGTTTCCTCCGGGTCCTCAGGTTTTTTACCACTGCTAAAAGACTCCTACGCGTAATTCAATTTTTCTTAAAAAAATGAACCGTATGTTAGTCCCGAAATGACCTAGTTTGTGTTAAAGTTGACATTTACCCCCTCCCCCCGTCTCCCCCCCCCCGTCTCTCCACCCCCCCCCCCCTCTCTCTCTCTCTCTTCATGCCAAAATATATGTTAATCCAATCTCTTACCTGAATCCATGACATATATAAATATCCAAACACCACTACAGATGGAGAAAACGAACAATAAGTATTGTTATTGACACCGTAGCTTAGGTACAACACAGCCTATTAACGCATGGCTATTTACATTCCTGTTTAGACTGTACAATGTAATCCTCGTGACTTGATAATCTGAACACAATACTGCGCCCACAGATATGAATAACCGGAATCAATTAAAGATGCATTGTGTACGATTTAGACAAAGAGCTGACCTTTCTTGCTATAATAGTCAACAAAAGATAATATAAAATGAATGTACTGAAAATTGTCGCAAGATGTAGCGCAGATTGTTTATTATCAAAGCAAAGTTACTGGACAATAGACACTTAGCCTCGTTCGTCCTACTGTTCTGCTCCGACTGGCATAATGAAAACGGGCATACGCCATACAGTGTGCTAAGGGGAACATTGGCCTACTCTTATCGAATTCCAACTGCCAAGAGATCTTTTACGTGCACCCCAATGTATACACGAGACCTCGGTTTTTCGTCCCATCCGAAGGACTAGATACCTCTCCTTGTCAGACCATCCTTACTGCACCACTGACAAGGGGAAACCATGTCGGAAAATCCCGTAAAATTTTCTCGGTCAATGCAGGGATCGAACACGCGACTTCCAGGCTAACAAGCCATGATGTCTTCACAGTTACTAAAGACTGTGGTATTCATAGGACGGGGAATCAAGTTTATCAAAGCATGAATCTATTAATTATTATTATTACATAACTTATATAACGCAGATCCCACTATAAAGTTTTCGAATGCGCTTAACGAAGTAAAATAAAATAAAATATTTCATTTAAATCAACAAACTTTACGTTATATTAAATTAAGATAACGCTACTGACGTCATTTCTTTACAATATGACAAAGAAAAATACATTTAAATTACTAACAAGATAACAACTGTAACAGGAAACCCATAAAACAAGGAAAATCAAATTATTATTCACCATGTTATTTTGAGGAAAAACTTAAATTTCATAAATAGTCATTATGAAAGATGAATACTCGCTTTGGATATCTTCGTAAGTTGTAAAAACCTTTCTCAAGAATGGAGATGGGGATTGGGGTGAAAATAGGGACTGGGGGTGGGGGGTCAAATCAGAATCTATATAAAAGCGAATTATTGAAATAAAATTTAACCATATTTTAGTCCCGAAATGACCTAGCTTGTGTCGAGTGGACGTTATACCCCATTTTTTTTCTCTATCGTGGGTTCAAGAAAAATACGATGCTATGGGTTGACCAGTACCCTTTCCTGATTCGTATTCTGATTCCATGGGAAAAAGTGCATAAATTTCAATTGGGCTAATTGTAACAAACAAGTTATTACAGACAAATATGATCTATATACACCATACAAATCTGAAAAATAAAGTACATGAATGTGAAATGGTTCTATGAAGGAAATTCTATTTTCTTAAACGTATCAAGATTAATACAAGGTCTAATATCAAGATATAATTCATTTCCTTATGCTAGGTTCTCACTGTCGTACGATGAGTTACGATAGGATTACCCCTATTAAAGGACAATATTGGTGCCAGTCATTATCACATATGTGATAGAACTGGTTAAACACCTTCCAAATATTATTTTATCACGGAAATCATTGCTACGATATATGAGTAATCAATCTTTAAACAATCGGAAGTGACGAACGCAAAAGGAAAACACGAGTTATCACTCTATGTAACTGACTGAAATGACGGGTGGTAACAGATACATGGGCGAATTTCTGCTCACTAATAATTCCTTCGAAGACCAAAAGTTGTTGTGTGAAACTATGAAAGGATATCTGACAATTCATACAAAATTGGCTGTCACTAAATAAGAGAACATGAAAGAAAAATTGAAAACGTCAGTGCTTTACTATGTTTTTATAAGCACAGAATGAATAAACACACGTGAATGTACGGACTGTTTCTATTTTTCTCGTGTTCTCTTATCTAATGACATTCAATTACTTTTTTGAATTGTCAAATATCCTCTTACAGTCTCATATAACAACCTTTGGTCTTCGAAGGAATTATTAGTCAGTTATATAGAGGGATATCTTGTGTTTTCCTTTTGCGTTCGTCACTTCCGATTGTTTAAAGATTGATTACGCATCTATCGTAACAATGATCTCTGTGATAAAATAATATTTGGAACGTGTTTAACCAGTTCTATCACATATGTGATAATGACTGGCACCAATATTGTCCTTTAAATCCACGATCTGGTACGTGCAGATCAACACGATTGCTACGATTGACCTGATAAGATCTAATAGGATCACTATGATTGCTCAACGATTATAACCACGATTTTAATCGTAGCGCGAATTGTGATAATGGGAACCTAGAATTAAGGAGAGAATTGGACAGTAACAAAACGTTGACCAAAATTTAAGAGCGTTTCTAATTTTGGCGTTAAACGAACTTTATGATCGGATGATCTAAAGTTTCTACTTGGTATATACATTAATAAAAGTTCAGATAATTGGAGCTAAAGTGCTGATACATAGTAAACCCTTAAGTCAATTCTAAACTAAACTGTGAATCTGGTGTGATTTGACCCAACTTATGGATCATAAGACATGCCGCTTTGTTCTTTACGCTATGCAGTTCACCAATCAGTTTAAAAATTATGGCTAAACAGGAGATGATCTAATCATCGACAAGCGTCTCATTCCCAATGTGAAGTCAGTTGCTGATCACTAAACCCGAATAATTGTGCTCTGGTTCGTTTCTATTCGCCAGGCCAGAATATGTCTCATCGGTATTGGTTGTATCTTGAATAGCCTGTGTCGTTTCATTATGTTTTCGTTTCCTGGAACAAAACACAGACATTTGATGATTGGATGTATGCACATCTACAAAAAAATGGGTGCTCCAGCTGTAGTTAAACAATGTTTTTATTCAGGATGTCTGAATGGTATAGGGAACAGGCTTAGGCTATGTAAAATCCCTCTGCCTAGTACTGGGAGGGTGGAAAGTATAAATAACACGCGAGATATTTTCAGGAATTTCAAGGCATTATTATCAGAATGTTTTTATGTCAGCAATATGCGCACATATAATTAATAAAGCCTGGACATAATGACATAATAACACGACATATTGGTTACTGCATTTTTTTATGTCAGCAATATGCGCACATATAATTAATAAAGCCTGGACATAATGACATAATAACACGACATATTGGTTACTGCATTTTAACACATGTAAGCTAGAATTCGACTTCCTTATAACTTATTCCTTATAGATAATATTTTCTAGCACCCTGAAATTCCCTCGTAGATTGAACGGTTGCGCAATACAATTATTATTATTATTATCATTATTATAATTATTATTACTATATTATTATTATCAATAATTGTAAGTATTACACACCTCCTGATGAAATAAATACCACCGATCAAGCATGCTGCTAATATAACTGCAGCCATAACAATAACAGCAACCAGTAACCCTGTATTAACATCGTTATCCTTGTTGTTAACTGTATTATTAATACCAGTACCATTGTTGATACCAGTTGGTATGGTTGCTTCGTCAGTATCTGTACTCGTGTTACCTGTTAATGAAGCAATAAATCAATACAGTTGAATGCACAGATAGAGTCAACAGAGATTATAAAATGTTTTTACGGGGTTTCACTAATATCTGTACTGGCTAAATCTGGTAAAGAAGCAATACAAATACGATTTATCTTTTGACAATGTCGTCACTTCATACTTAAATCCACAAATACTAGAATCACAGTCAACATTCAATTGGTAACCAGGGTTAGGGTTGGGATATGTAAACAGGGCTAGCACTAATCCCAACCACCCTGACCATAACCCAGAACCTAGCCCTAATGCTTACCCAATCTTAAACAACAATCTCGCCAACAATCACGCGCCCTGACCTTATTTACACCTCAGCGACCTTGATAAAAATTGAGCTGGCCTTAACAAATAAATTTAGTCCTGTATACAGTGTATAATTTAAGCTCAAAATAAATACAACTGTTAAATTCATGATCTGGACAAAGGGACACCACTCTCCTAGAAAGTATATCTAGTCGTTCGAGTTGGGAACATAATACACGTTCAGATAATAACATAATAAAACACCACGACAATAAGTCGCCCCAACCCCTACAACCGTACTTCATTCCATTCTCCCATTATGGCGAGCTCCAGCAAATCTGGATAGATTCATGTGATCTTTGTGTAGCTAAGTGTCCATTTACTTCCGGTTTCTTTGCTAAATATTAATTATGAAATATTGAAATAAATCCAAAGGTGGTGATAAGTGATTGAACTTACTTACCTGATATACAAGTATAAGGATAATAAATATAATCATATATTATGTTAGAGATGTTAACTGGTGGTCTGAGACTACATCTTGGCTTATTAGAACAGTTTCTGTAAACCTCCAAACGATATTCTTCATCATCTACTTCAAGTCTATATAAACGACCGTTTAGATTTGTTACACCGTTTCTAGAACATGATGTAGGATTACATGGGTTGGTATTTAGTTTAAAGGGACAGGATGGTGTGATCTTAGTACCATAATGTATTTTACGTATCTCATCTCGTTCATCTATTGACATAACTTGACCATCATCACAGGTCAGTGTATGTTGTTTACCAGATTCACCATAGCAACCAAACTCGACATGACATTCATCATTGTTCACAACTGAAAGTAATGGATGAATTATACACTTTACTTGCCTATCATATTTTAATATGGATACTATTGTTACAAATTATGCATCCTGTTATAGTCTATGGCTATACTGGGCAAAATTGATCCACAAAGTTTGATAGACTGTAAGTAACATCGAAATGTATCTAAGTATATCAATAGCAGTGGGAGGAAACCGGAGAAAACTCACGAAGTTGGACAGGCAACACTATTCCTTGTCCCGTAAACCGGGGAATCTAACTAACCCCATCGGAAATAGAAAACCCATTGTTCACAAATCCACAAAGAAAAATACAGGAATTAAACTCACATATACAACTGGCGGTAGTTTTTACTTTGATGTCCAAAGCAGTTATATCTCATAACAAACTGTCATGACATCATCATAGGTTGATATAATTCGTTCATATCAACCGCTGTCCGCTGATGACGTCATGACAGGTTGATATTTCATATCAACCGCTAATGACGTCATCTCAGGTCAGTATATTCGGCTCATATCAACCGCTGATGACGTAGATGATCGAAATAATACAAAAAAAACACAGAAATAAATTTTTTTTCTTTTAACAATTAAAATTTGTTATGGTACAGTTTCTAACATTCAGGACCGAAATAGACGGCGTACTTATCGACATACATGTATTTAGATCGGTTATCCATGTCTAAGACATCTTTCAAAATTTTCTTTTCGTCCACATTGCGATTATTTCTCCACACACTACAAGACTTGAAAGTATTTATCGCCCAAGAGTTCCTTTGTAAAGTATTTTTGGGTACAGTCCACTTAAAACAGTCGGTCAAATCCTTCTCTGAACATACCGAAAACCTTAAATCATGGTTCACTGTCAGAATTCTTGGAAAAGAATGCCTTTTGGTTCAAATTTTCTGCAGGCTTTGGATAGATCCTCGTCGATATTTGCATTTACATCTATTCCATCGTCAATATGTTGGCTAAAAAGGATTGATTATTCGTCTGACTTCGTATTACTATCCATTTTGTTTTTGCTTTCAATTCAATAGTCCAAATGGCGACGTATAAACAAAAACATGTACGTAATTGCACGTGATTACTTCGGTATTTTTCGCTATTTGGCGGAAACTATCGAGCAATTATTCAATCGCTGTTGCCTTTTAATGGAAGAGCCCATTAAATTTAAGGGTGAAATGGCGTTGTATATGTCGGATATAAATCTACTCTCCCTCGGATTGATATCAACCTCGGGTAGGTTAATATCCTATACATACAACTACATTAGCTAAAACAGATTTAACTTACCTAAATGTCTAAAGCAGTCATCGCAAGTTATTGTTGAACCTATAATACATCATATTAATACTTATCATATTAAGCATGTGTTAGTACGGAAGCGTATTGGGGCCAAATTAAAATAAATAACAATTGTGATTGTATTGAAATTTTTTTTTAAATAGTTATTAGCTACACGTGGCTTCATTAGTCCACTGAAAGTGGCCCGGTCCGGTCCTAATGAACTTCATTAAGTCTTCTGTTAGACCGATTGGAGCTAAAAGTAAGGCGCTGCGTTAAACCGTATTTCATTAATATGAACAAAATGCAAATTGGGATCACATACCGAATAATTTAATCAACATATCGACCAAGAGGACAAAGAGCTTTACAAATGCACTTTGGGAAGTTCGGGTTAAATGTCATCTTAAACTATTGTTTGTTCCCTAAAGACCTGTTCCGAATTAAAACGGAAGGCTGGACATGCGATTCTACTCCATGCCACGTATAACCACAACACTTGACTCAATGACAGACTATACGATCAAACGAGCACACGTTAACCATTCGGCCACCCAAACACCCTTAGCGAAACGAAAATTACTTGAATTGATCTTTATCCATATGACGTCATCACCTTCAGCTGGTAGATTATCAATAACAATGTTAATCTGGTTTCCTCTAATAACTGATGAGTATCGTCCATCAATGAAAACTTCTTCCCCACATTTGAACAAAGTTTGTTTCCCTGGTGTTATCTGAACCCTTTTACTAGATTCGGCACTCAAACGAATGAACCGAGTTTCTACCTGAATTTGTCCTTGGTTGGTAATATTACAACATTTGGTGAAAGATGGTGTTTTACCAGTAATATATAAATAGTCACCACTGTTTATAGATGTATTGGTTATTTCACCCAGGTCATGTATGGAAGAAACTTTAAATAAAAACAGATAGTTTCATATTAATTCCTGGCGTATGCTGGTTCCTTCGAATCTATATTCATGGACGTATAGACTACAGTGAATTGTTTTCTTTTAAAATAATCACATTACAGACGAACCTGAGACAGCAGCTGTGCTCTCATGGATGATCCTAGTGATTCGAGTCATAGGTGCGAAATTATTTAGATTTTACAGAATGGACAAAATTCAATGAACCGGGGTTTATAGTCCTAGAAAACGGGCTTATGTCATGTCCTATGCTATGAGAGTGGGGTCTGCCTCGATAACATTTGCCAACGGTTCGTTTTATTCAACATATTTATATCTGATGAATTACAAACTAAAATATTAAGGTTGGGGGACAGGTATGTAATTATAACTGAATCACCAATTGGAATCTTAAATATGGAAAAGTGTCATTGAATATGTTTTTAACCAAACCTAATTTACATCTACAGTATCTCACACCTGGCGTGTGCAATTCAGAAAAATAGGACCCTTTCGCAACAGTAAAAACTAGAACACCAAAGCGAAATTATGTCCGGTTACGTTTCCGTTCACTTCTTCTCTTGCACAGCGATTTGCTATCCGACGTACGATCATATTTAAAATGATGCTTTATTTTTATTCAGATAATCGAGAATATTTATTTTATAATGATATATAAATTAAAAGGTTGAGATAAGTGATTGAACTTATTTACCTGATATACAAGTATAAGGATAATAAATATAATCATATATTATGTTAGAGATGTTAATTGGTGGTCTGAGACTACATCTTGGTTTATTAGAACAGTTTCTGTAAACCTCCATACGATATTGTTCATCATCTACTTCAAGTCTATATAAACGATCGTTTAAGTTTCTTATACTGTTTCTAGAACATGGTGTAGGATAACATTGGTTGGTATTTAGTTTAAAGGGACAGGATTGGTTCTTGGTACCATAATGTATTTTACGTATCTCATTTCGTTCATCTATTGCTATAACTTGACCTTCATCACATGTCAGTGTATGTTCAGTACCAGAGTTACCATAGCAACCAAACTCGACATGACATTCATCATTGTTCACAACTGAAAGTAATGGATGAATTATACAGTTTACTTGCCTATCATATTTTAATATACATACCAAATATGGATACCATGTTTGACAGTCTGTAAGTAACGTTGAAACATATCTGAGTATATTAATATAAACTTAAGCGTAATCTATCCCAACTCAACCTAAAACACAAAACCCAGTGTCCACAAATCTATAGAGAAAAGTACAAGGATTAAACTCATGGCCATCTTCATCAGATAAAACATAATTAACATACCTAAATGCCTAGAGCAGTCATCGCAAGTTATTGTTGAACCTATAATACGTCATATTAACTTACCTAAATGTCTAGAGCAGTCATCGCAAGTTACTGTTGAACCTATAATACATCATATTAATACTTATTATATTACACATACGGTAGTATGGAAGCGTATTAGGGGCAAATAAAAATAAATAACAATTGTGATTGTGTTTTGAACACGTTTAAATTATTAGTTCCTTAGTGACATAATGGCTTCTTTATTCCTCTAAAAGTGGCCCCGTTCGGTCCAAATGAACTTCATTAAGTCTTCTGTTAACTCAATTGGAGCTAAAACTAAGGCGCTACCTTAAACCGCATTTCATTAATAAGAACAATTGTGAATTGGGATCACACAACCAACGCATCGAATAATTGAATTAACATATCCACCACAAGGACAAGGAGCTTTACAAATGCACTTTGGGCAGTTTGGGTTAAATGTCATATGGTTTGTACCCTAGAGACCTGTTCCGAATTATAATGGAAGGCTGGAGAGACGACCCTACTCCATGTCACGTACAACCATTTGACTCAATGACAGACCTTATGGCCAAACGCACACGCGTTAATCATTCAGCCACCCAACCCCCTTAGCGAAACGTAACTTACTTGAATTGATCTTTATCCATATGACATCATCACCTTCAGTTGGTAGATTATCAATAACAATATTAATCTGGTTTCCTCTAATAACTGATGATTGTCTTCCATCAATGAAAACTTCTTCCCCACATCTGAACAAGGTTTGTTTCCCTGGTGTTATCTGAACCCTTTTACTAGATTCGGCACTCAAACGAATGAACCGAGTTTCTACTTGAATTCCTCCTTGGTTGGTAATATTACAACATTTGGTGAAGGATGGTGTTTTACCAGAAATATATAAATAGTCACCACGGTTTATAGATGTATTGGTTATCTCAGCCAGGTTATTTATGGAAGAGACTATAAAATCAGATAGTTTTATATTAATGCCTGACGTGTGCTGGTTCCTACGAATCTATATACATGGCCGACTACAGCCATTTGTTTTTCTTTAAAAAATAATCACATGTTAACAGACGAACCTGATTAAATTACAGATCCTATTTCGTTGCGTTTTTATAGTTCAAAATTTCGTTTTACTTGTCTTTACTACACTAGGATCTGGAAGAATTGTTATATAACCCTCGTTCTGGTTGATATGATGGATTAGCCAATTAAACGGTCTGTTGTAGCGAGTTTTTGGCGTAGGAACTGTGGATATCCTACTAGAAACATCAGCGCTGATTAGTTAATCAATTGTCTGACGTCATAGGGTCAAAAGTGGCTCGTATGACCTCTGACTCGACCCCGCCACTACAACTGGTCAGATCTTCATGTATTAGATGCCATCGAAAGTATAAATAAAAACGAAACGAAATATAGATCTGTATTTCAATCAGATGGAGATGAACCTGAGACGGAAGCCGTACGTTTCAGAATGAACCTTGTAATTTCAAGTCGTATTGCCCAAGTCATATGTGCCAATTAGATTTTATTAAATAAAACAAAAAACATGCAATCAAATTGCGTTTAACACATAAATATCTACATAATGAAATATTAAATCATTTGCTCCCATATAATTATATCTGAAATCTGAATTATCAATTATTAAAAACTGAAATAGTATTATTAAAGATAGATTCAATTAAACATTATTCTGCACTCGCTCACATGGGTCGTGCTTATTTCAGGATAATACGGACCTTTCGTATCGCTAAGAAAATGAAAACGAAAAAATGCCGGATTACGTTTTCGTCCACGTTTCCTCTTACACACGGTTTCGCAATTCGACGTACGATCGGTCGTATGTTCAAATATGCCTATTCAAATGATCTAGCCTATTTTCTAATCATATATTTCAACTTTATTGATTATTCAGATTATTTTAAGAGGGAGGGAGAAATGGTATTTAACGTCCACTCGACACAAACTAGGTTATTTCGGGACTAATATATGGTTAAACTTTATTTCAATAATCTGCTTGCGCGTAGGTGTCTTTAGCAGTGGGAGGAAACCAGAGGACCCTGGAAAAAACCACGAGGTTGGACAGACGACACTACTCCTTGTCACGTACAATCGATGAATGGAAACCACGCCGGTTGACTCAGTGACAGACCTTATGATACGATTATTGAAGTCTTACAACGGTCTGGCAAATGAAACATGATTAAATGTAATAATTTACCTGGTATACATATATAAGGATAGTAGATATAATCATAATCAGTCCCAGGTGTGAAAGGAGAGGTGAGGCTACAGGTACGTTTATTAGAACAGTTTTTATAAACCTGTAATCGGTAGTCTAGATTAACAGGTGATGATAGATCTGTTATATGTTTCCTACAACACTCCCAGTCCTTACATGAGGTGGTATCTAGACGCGTATTACAGGACGTGTTGATCTTGGTACCATAATGTATTTTACGTATCTCGTTCCGTTCATCTATTGATATAACTTGACCTTCATCACAGGTCAATGTGTGTTTGGAACATGGCGACCCTGGTCGTTCATAGCAACCAGACAGATACCGACAATCATCACCTTTTGGACCTGAAATACAAATATGTATTAAAACAGATCGTGCAGTCTGTTATTGTATAACGGCGTGAATAATTAAACAAACAATCACTGCATTGTTAGGTAACCCTGGTGATGTATTTTTGTTTATGACTGTCGTTCATCATATAGGGACAGTTCATCATAATAATATACAGGCATTAGAACTGGTTACAGGAAAAGTTCCAAGAATATCCATGGGATTAAACTCTGTCAAACGTTTAGACTCATTCGATCATAAACCAAACCCAATTGAGGAATTCAAAAACAACCATTTGGCTGTAAAATTATATCTGAAGGTAAATATGTACTTACTTGAAATATGGAACCCAGAGCAGTCATTACACGTTATACTTATAGTTGACCCTAAAATACAAAATGATTTAATAAACCAAAATAAAATAAAAGATACTTATGTCTACCATAAATACAGGGTTTGTGGACCTTCTGTATCCAACCTTCTATATACTCTTCAAAAAAAAGTAGGGGATATTCAGAAAAAATACAAAACTGCGGAAATGCACTGCTGTTTTTATTAGAGGTGACCAGTGTATGTTAATAACAGGCCAATTGCCTACACATGAACATAAACAGTTCATATGGGCGGCTTATCTGACGGCCCATTTCATTCCCAAAGAGACACAGTCAAAAGTGAAAATGGACGTTTTTGATTTTTGTCTTAATAATCAGTTATTGTTCCACCAATCCTCATACATCCAGCAATTCGTCGTGACATGCTCCTAATCAACCGTCCAGTCACGATTTACGGCAATCTGACACACCCCTCTTGCAGTGCCACAGCCAATTCTTGCAGTGTTGTTGGTTGACATTGACGTCGACGAACACGTCTCCCGATCAAATTAAACGTAACACACTAAAGCAAAGCTACGCTAAACAGTAAATCGTATGCAAGAACCGATAGGAAAGCAAACATGGATAGATAAACCAGCACGCGGCAGTTTTCAACAACCCTTCCTTGAAGTGTCAAATTTGACAATGAACCCCTCCCACGTGTATGGCGCTATTGCGTGTCACATGTGCAGCTCAGTGGTTCTGTTGGGCGACAAGTTCTTCATCTGTGAACATACTCTCAAAGCATGTCAAGTGTCCATGACTATTTATCATATCACAACCTGCATAGGTATTTGAATTTCAATATCCCCTACTTTTTTGAAGAGTATATAAGATCTATTTTGTATAGCTATATAAGTAAGCTGTTGTTAAACGCAATGTCTATCAACTTAGCTTCATTGTGGGAGGGTCCCTTTTTCAGAATGTATTTACCATTACTTACTGTACATTTACCATACATTTAAGTAAATTCTTAATTATTCCTGTCAACTTCTTTTTCCGCCGTTTATTTGCAGAATCTTTTGTACGTTCACACCCTCTAATGTTCCCAAAACCGCCTAACCATTTGATCAAGAAATAACAACCGCTCCACACAATAAGCTGGCAGATAACAGTCGGGTTGCCAGTTAGTGATACCTTGACAATCTTGCCCAGTGCTTGCCCAATGGACGTTTTTCGGGTAATCCAGTATTTTTCTAGTAAGATTGGTTTTCTATACTTTCCATACCAAATTTGGCATACTTTTATTGGAAATAACCACCCGATAAATACTTTTCTGGGAAAGTATCTTTAGACAATAGATGATATTCTTACCGGAGAGTAACCGAAACCAAACAAAATCATCATCTTCCACATTAACGTTATCAAGTACAACATGATACATCGTATCTCCTGAAATTTCCAGTTCTTGTAAACCAAAGAAGACTCCCCCTTCATCTAAACATCTCAATAACGTCTGATTCTCAGAATAAATCTTCACGTTGTAACTTGATTCTTCTGTTAGATATATGTAGACACTTTCTATGGTTATTGGTATAGTACTTGTTATATTACAACATCTAGTAATTGTTGTATCTGTAGTTTGTGTTTTACCAGAGTAATATAAATAACCTTTATATTGAAAACTGACATCGGTGATCTCCATCATATTGTATATCTGAATATCTGTACATAAAAACAAATTAAAAAATCTCATAATATACTATTCAAAAAAAGTAGGGGATATTTGATTTTGGGGGCATAATACTAAAATATGCAAATGACTACGAAAAAAGTCACTATAGAACCTAACAGAAGAAACATTTCCAGTTACATGTGACGCCCAAACGCACCAATAGCTACCGCATGGAATGCAGGTGATGCTTGGGATCATCATGGGGGTCCAACCCAAGATTTGCACGACTCTGACTTTGAATGTTACAGTCATTGTGGCATTGAATTCCAGGGTGGAAACATCAGTTTAATTGTTTTAGTGACCAGAAAACAAATTTTGATATGCGTCGGTTTACCAAAAATGAAAGGTTACGTGCCCTTGGCATGCTACAGATCGGCACAACACAGGCGGTTGTGGTGCGGACGATGAATGTTTCTCAGTCTGTCATAAGCAGGCTATGGTCCAGATACCGTGATACACAATCTGTACAGGACAGACCACGCTCAGGTCGACCAAGGGCGACAACTCAAGCCCAGGATCGATTTATCCGTACCTTGGCCTTGAGAAATCGTGTCATCACAGCAAATCAGATCAGCGCTCGTCTTCAAACAGACACTGGTGTGAGAGTGAGTGGCCAGACGATTCGGAATCGACTGCATAGGGGTCACCTTCGCGCCCGACGTCCTCGCGTGATCCCTTGTTTGAGAGATCATCACATTCAGGCAAGACGTCGTTGGTGTAGGGATCGTCAACACTGGGATAATCGACGCTGGAGCAATGTGATGTTTTCAGATGAGTCAAGGTTCACTGTTGATTTTTTGGACAGACGTAGGAGGGTGTGGCGTCGTCGAAACGAGCGCTTCCAAGACGTTAACGTCATCAGACATGATCGATTTGGGGGTGGTTCTGTTATGGTGTGGGGAGGCATCACTGTTGCTGGAAGAACGGCTTTACATGTTGTTGCAGGGTGTGTTACAGGCCAGTACTACCGGAACAACATCTTGGCAGTCCATGTTGTGCCGTTCGCACGACGTCATGGCCGCCGTTTCATCTTCCAGGATGACAACGCAAGATGTCACAGGGCCAGGATCGTTACAGGTTACCTCCAACAACAGAACATCACCACATTACCTTGGCCAGCACTGAGTCCCGACCTCTCCCCCATCGAGCATGTCTGGGACATGCTTGGACAGAGGTTACGTCAACGTCAACAACGTCCTGCCAATGTCCAAGAACTTGCTGCTGCGTTGCAACAGGAATTAGGACAATCTGGACCAAAATGACCTTAGACGCCTCATTAGGAGTATGCCACGTCGGATCAATGCTTGTTTGGCAAACAGAGGAGGATTTACCCGTTACTGACTTGGTTGTGATGCTGTGGTAACTTTGCTGTTTGACCCCGGGTATCATTTTACCCTTATAATGGTCAGTCTGTGCCTTACTTAGTCTAACGATCATTTGGAATAAATCGATGAATGTGAACTTCATTTCATTTTGTCATTTGTTTCTTCGTCAGTTTCATTAGGTGACTTTAATAACACTTAAAAATCAAATATCCCCTACTTTTTTTGAATAGTATATATATAAATAATTAAATAGGCAACACATATTTTGTCCTTTACAGCAGCCATTGGGTCAGCAACCACGATACATCAAATAAAAACAATAAAACACATTTAAACAATAATTACTTCTGTTAAATTTAAATAACGCATTGGCAATATTTGTCAATTGTTTGATTCGTCTCGTTTCTGCCATAATGTGGGTTACCTATCTGGAATACATCTGTATAGATAGAGTATATAATATAGTGTACGTACCTGGAATACACCTGTATAGATACAGTATATAATCATAGTCAATATCAGATTTGTAAGGAGATGTTAGGGTACATGTTTGTTGATTGGAACAGTTCTTATAAACTTCTAATCGATATGTGTTGTCGACTGGTATACGAGCTAAGTCATCTGCATTGTTCTGTCTGAGCTTACAGCAGGTTGCATTACATAAGTCCATCTGCTGTGACCTACTATTGCATCTTACACCATTTCTACCATATGACAGTCGAGCATATTTTTCATCCATGGCTATAACTTCATGATCTGGACAGGTCAGAGTATGTTTAGAACATGGTGATTCTGGTGGGCTATAACAACCAGTAGTTAACTCGCCATAAACATCCACAAACATTGCTGTAATATAAACATAGTTATTTTATAAACATCCACAAACATTGCTGTAATATAAACATCATTTACAGTATGTATAGCTTACAACACACCATAAACATCCACAAACATTGCTGAAATATAAACATAACTATTTCATGTTTTCTCTACAGCATTTATAGTATTTATAGTTTACGACATTGACACACTTTTTAACAAAAACTGTTCAGCTACAACTACAACAGAGCGTATGTTAATACGGAACAGACGATCGAAAATGTCAACGACCTTTATTAGCTTGAACCTACGAGAAAGCTAGGAAAACTATGTAATGTAATAAGATCTTTACAAGTAGCATAGCATTGCAAAGAAATTGTCGATCATTGTGATTATTGTAAGACGCAAATTCTTATTGCGTTCCACCTATTAGTTCGCAATATTTGTACGCAATTTGTACGAAACCAGTATTTTACGCGGGTTTCTGTAGAAGATACCTGATTGTCCAGTCAAAATATGATGTAATTTGTTAAGTCACATTAAAGTCTTGATAATTGGCGCTCTTTTGTCATGGAAAGACGACATGGCACCAAATTTGTTGGTAGATTTCTTGGAGCCCAGATCAGCATACAAAATGGTTAGAAACAATGAAAACAATTCCACACCTTACGCTCACACCCTTAGATTAGCTACATAGACTGTGTCACCAAGAAACAGACAGTTTTGTGCAAATCAAGTCTGTAATGCTCGACCCAGCGTTTTAGGGTTTTTGGCGCAATAATGCTCAAAGTCGTAATTCCCCCCTCTCTCTCTCTCTCTCTCTCTCTCTCTCTCTCGTAAATGTCAGTTATCAATCAACTTAAACCATTAATCCAAGACAATGATCCCATTCTTCATTGACACGAAACAGATTATCTACTAGTTGATTAATCTATAATACCCCACCACGTAATAGACACTCAACGCATTGGTCAATCAAGGGTAAACGCGAAAATCAAATTTTAATCGTCACTTTATATTATTTTTTTT